TGGATATACTGCAAATGAAAATTAGAATGATTCTTCTTTTTTTTGCCAACAATATAAGCTATCACCTAGTGTATATATACATACAGTAATTACAAACACTTTTTTCCGTATAAATAGACTTCAAAATTTCCAATTCCTACTTTAAATGTATAATTTCAATGACAAATGTAAATCAATATTCGTCATCTACAATGTCGTGATCAAATGGGTGTAAAAAACAGAAAGTTGACATTGATTTTAACGTGAAAATGATAACGTTACTAGATTACGCACCCAGATCAAATAAATTACTAACTAAATAATTGTGTGATAGTAACTAGCACCCACCCACAAATGTTTCATTTCCTGTTTTGGAAATAATTCCAAAAAAATTAAAGAAACTTTTAATCGCAATTGTTGATGCACCCGCTTATGGGAACAACTTTTAAGAGTAATTTAAAAAAAACTGTTTAACCTACTTACGAACCTTATTAGACTTGGCCCGTTCACACATTTTCAATCGTAGAAATTGCACTGGTTTGTGATCGGTTTAATACGGTTAGATGACGAAAACCAGTAACTATTTCTTTTATTTATGAGTATGTTAATTGTCTGATGCTACTTATATGTGTATTGGACTCACTTGTATGCAACACTGATTTTTTATATAACTAATACAAAATTTGAAAATTGCGTTTTTCACCGAACCATTTTACAAAAACTACCACCGTGTATGCCAAACAGCCAAAGAGGAAACGGACCAAGAAGAGAAGTTGAACTGTAATTTTTCTTTCTCTTCCTGAAAACCGAAGGGCGGATAGACGACGGCTAATGGTGATGGAACTGGTTTGAAACTTTTATTCTTTCTCGTCTGTAACCGTCATAAACGTACACTTTTTGCGATTATGTGTTGGTTAGTGCAATACCATTACGAATTACGAATACTGTGCTTACGACTTATTGAATGCAAACCAACCGGGATATTTGGATCATGTAAGGACGAACAAAGAGACAGAAAGAGAGCCAAATGGTGGTGACAGAGAGCCTCTCTCAGATCATGGTCATTAACTACATATGTTCACGCACATTTTAATGTGTAACAAAAAGTATTATTATCATATTGCTATTATTGTTTGGTTTCTCGTGCATACTTAAGTCATTTGTACTTCTTAAATCAGATAGAAAAGTTAACGCTCCAAGCTCCTATTTAAAATATTATGCCTACATAATATAGCTGTACAGATCCTATTAGATTTATGGTATTTTCGAAATTTTTCCCTTCTGAACTTTGCTAAAAATAACTCCTCCTACTAACGTTTCTGAAATATGAAATAGTAGGTAGATAAGTATCTACAGACTTGTGCAGGTATTTTAAGGGAGACTGCAGGTAGATAGAATACAAAAATAAATCCTAGTAACTGACTACGTACAAGTTGAATTTGTGCGAGTTCTTGTACGAAATTCCTACGTGATATTGTAAGCTCTGTTACCATCTACTAAAGGATCCTAAAGTTCATTTTTTTAGTATTGGTTTAATTGGCACTTGTTTTAAAGCTGTTTCTTTAAGTCTTGTGTGCAATAGTATAAACTTACCGTATCTATTGCAACCCTTGAAAGGGACACTTCTGAGCTTTCTTGCTCTGATCCTTTACGACGCTGCTTGCATTTAAAATANTTATATGTGTATTGGACTCACTTGTATGCAACACTGATTTTTTATATAACTAATACAAAATTTGAAAATTGCGTTTTTCACCGAACCATTTTACAAAAACTACCACCGTGTATGCCAAACAGCCAAAGAGGAAACGGACCAAGAAGAGAAGTTGAACTGTAATTTTTCTTTCTCTTCCTGAAAACCGAAGGGCGGATAGACGACGGCTAATGGTGATGGAACTGGTTTGAAACTTTTATTCTTTCTCGTCTGTAACCGTCATAAACGTACACTTTTTGCGATTATGTGTTGGTTAGTGCAATACCATTACGAATTACGAATACTGTGCTTACGACTTATTGAATGCAAACCAACCGGGATATTTGGATCATGTAAGGACGAACAAAGAGACAGAAAGAGAGCCAAATGGTGGTGACAGAGAGCCTCTCTCAGATCATGGTCATTAACTACATATGTTCACGCACATTTTAATGTGTAACAAAAAGTATTATTATCATATTGCTATTATTGTTTGGTTTCTCGTGCATACTTAAGTCATTTGTACTTCTTAAATCAGATAGAAAAGTTAACGCTCCAAGCTCCTATTTAAAATATTATGCCTACATAATATAGCTGTACAGATCCTATTAGATTTATGGTATTTTCGAAATTTTTCCCTTCTGAACTTTGCTAAAAATAACTCCTCCTACTAACGTTTCTGAAATATGAAATAGTAGGTAGATAAGTATCTACAGACTTGTGCAGGTATTTTAAGGGAGACTGCAGGTAGATAGAATACAAAAATAAATCCTAGTAACTGACTACGTACAAGTTGAATTTGTGCGAGTTCTTGTACGAAATTCCTACGTGATATTGTAAGCTCTGTTACCATCTACTAAAGGATCCTAAAGTTCATTTTTTTAGTATTGGTTTAATTGGCACTTGTTTTAAAGCTGTTTCTTTAAGTCTTGTGTGCAATAGTATAAACTTACCGTATCTATTGCAACCCTTGAAAGGGACACTTCTGAGCTTTCTTGCTCTGATCCTTTACGACGCTGCTTGCATTTAAAATAGTTATTATACACATACCTATGTGTTTAAGTATTAAAAAGTAACGGTAGTCTATATGTATACATATACTGTATGTGCAGGCATACTGTACGCATTTTTAATTTTCCTTACTTTGTCCTACATGAGATTGGCGTAAAAAATAAAAGAGCAGCAGCTATTTTATGTAATTAAAAAACCACTAGGTATAATAGTAGTAAATTGGAGAAGATATTCTTTAAACGTTTCGAACAATAGCTAACAGCAATAAATTTGTTGATAAAATTGACCCTCAGCTTTGTCACTGCCACTATTATAGTGTTTACAGCGTAAGTTACGATTCTAACACGAAATTTCACTTCAATTTAAACCAATATAAGTAATTAAGGTCCATTAATAGAACAATTTTCGTTCATTCTACTCTGTAGGTATCTAAAAACAAAATACTGCCTTGGTGTTGTAGTATGTTAAAAAACTTTAATACATATTTTGCATTCGCTCTTCCCATGCATAAAAAAAGGGAATGTAATTTGTTTATTAATCATTCCACACTTTCTTACCTGTTCGTCCATTTCTAATAAGAATTGCATGAAAATAAATAAGAATTTATTAAAGAATTGCAGATTTCTATTAAATTTGCAATGATTTAAAACGACTAAAAGCGTTAAAATGCATTTTCAACTTGTTGCATTTGCTAGTTCTAGACTTAAGTTGTAACAATTACCAAAAAATAAAATTAGTAAACAACAGGTATATTAAAAAAAACCGGACGTGCTCAAATATTTACAAAAACAACAATAATAATAATTTCAATCGGTCAGAAAAAAAAAGGATTGCTATTTACTACATATTTTACAACTAACTACACACATACATATACCAATTTATTTAAATTAACACAAACCTTAAGAAGAAACGTATGTACTTATTAAAAAAACGCAACTGTTTGATTTGTTAAAAATATTTCAACCCTTCGGTATTTCTGAAAAAATGCGCTTATCTTTTTCTCTTCTACGACCATCAAATACGCCAAGTACCGACAGCTTTCGACCTCTGTTTGACCCTATATCATTTACGCAAACTCATGACTATTTGTCCATGAGATTTCAACTTCGTGTTAATTGGAGCTCGTACTTATTATGGATACTTTACCAGCAAACACGATAAAGTTTTTGATTTACAATTTGGAAATAAATACTTAAATGTTAATTGCGATCGTTTTTAGCAATGATTTTTTCAAGGCCTCGTCTTTTCTATTCTCGTCATAAAATAGATCAATATAAATTTGGACCACGAGCTGCGCTCCTATTGGACAGAACTGCGGGTGTGTTGTAGGTATGTTACGTACTAATCGTAAAATATGTACCTATTGGGAATACTCTAAAAATTGTCAAGATACCGGAAAGTTTTGCTATCGTTTCTTTAACGATTGTGAGTCATAAAATTGAAAAAGAAATAGAGAATATCACCTTATGTAATACGTAAGCACCTATAACTTTTACGCAAAATGTTAAGATTGAGCTATTTGTAAAACAAAAGTAAAGCGTCATCAACTTAAAAAACAAACAATCTCAGCCAAGTTCAATTTTAAATAGATTAAGGTACGTATGTACAATATGTGATGTGGAATGTAAAATTCAAAAACAAATTGATGTAATAAATATATATATATATATATATACAATTATTATGTGGTATGTTGGTAGGTGCTTAATAATTTTTTTTTTCGAAATTTCGTCTTCTAAATATTATTTCTTTATCAGTTTTCCATGAATTATATGAATTTACATCAAACTAATATTAGGGTATATATAAAAATAATTTAACAGGCAGTACCTATTGGTGTGTAAATGAAAAAAAATTGAAAATATAGGCCAATTATCTATTACAATTTTTTGTATTTAAATGTTAGATGAGAAGCAAATGAAAGATTTTAAAGATGGTATTAATGTATAAGAAAATGTAATGTCTTAAGTCATGTAATTCATGCCGGTTATGAACTTACCCCCTGTATATCTCTGACCGGTCGTGTGGTTAAGTTCTCTTGCGAGTAAATGGGTACATCCAATTCACTAACACTCGAGGAAATGCTGGGATCTCTTTCGGTACGTGGTACCTGAAGAAGTTTTATGGCTTGTTGGGCGTCCCGACTTTTCAGGTAGTGACTTTCGGCAATGAAGCCAACTTCCTCGTCGTCATCGTGATCCATCGATAGTTTTTCAAAAATAAACTTTGCAGATAACGGAAGAGATCGGCGCAACGAAAAGAATTTTAAAAATTGTTATAGGTAAATGTTAATTTATATAATTCGGAACCGATTTTAAAACGGCAACTAATTGACCTCTGAAAGACAACTGCACCGGGACGCTGCCAACGACGCCGATTATTTTTAGATTTATTGCGTTGTCGACGTCGATGAAACTTTTTTTCGGTGTCTTTTCTATTGACGAAACCTTATCTATGCATTGTAAAGGAAAAATTTCTTTAATTACTTACATCACTTTCGCTTATCTCAATGCGTTATTAACATTTTCACGATCAATGGTCCATTTACAACTCAGAACAGAAAATATTTTACTATTAAGTGAAATCGAGATTACTTAGAAACCTAACATTGTGGTGAAAATGCCTTGGCCTAATTTTAAAAATGATTTAATCAAACGTTTACTTACTGAGCGCCTTTTCCACTAAAATTATTAGAGCGGCGTTTAATTAAAGCAGAACCCAATATTTTTACCTCTTAGGTCGATTATTAAAAAATAAGAATTTCAGGAATTAATTAATTAAGACGCTACTTAACAATATTGTTTCAGCTTACTTAGGCATCTTCAAAAGCTACACACTTTAGCTATCTATACACGAACTCGATTTTTTGAGGAAAAATTTTACGAAAATACATTTTATTACATATTTACCACTACAGAAACATTACTTTCGGATGGCTAGATGGCTATTAAGTATATAGATTGATTAACTATAACTAGACTAGTAGTCACGGCTTCTATAATTAGCGCAACGAAAACAAAACTAACAAAAAAGTATCAGACATTTATTACAAAAAAGGAAATACAAACTTGAAAACTCGTTGATTCAAACTTATACAAAACTTAGGTATAAAAGTAGAAAGAAAATTGCAACGTTCAATGACAAATCAGTTCTTCAGAACCGGAAAATGTGTAAGGATCAAGTAAAAATAAATTATGAACGGGAACTTCTTTACAGGAAACAGCCTTTATAACTTCTTGAGCTATTATTCCCCCCAGAATGGAGCATATTGGCGGAATTTCCCCGAAAATTACGTTTAACAAATTGTCATTAAATTTCTCCGAATTCAATTCAAATCGTTTAGCAACTGAATCTTTTAGTTCTTTTAACTTTTTCAAATCTTCTTTTCGCTCTGTGTATAACGGGTATCTCCCCACTGCATCGCGAAATTCATTCAAAACTAGAAGAATTAGTAAATTAGCAAATATCATTCTTTTTTCTATTATAATTGTTTACCTAAAACTAAATAGTAGAGAATGTTTCGTCTTTTTAATGTTTTTTTGGGGGATACTGGCACAGTAGGTACTAATACTTGCTTCAAGTTTGGATAAACAATTTTACGTTGCACCTTTGTTATAATTTTTTCCAAAGATTGTGCTAGTGGTTTACCTTCATGAGTTCTCTTTTTAGGTGGTAAGGAAACTTTCTCCCTGTAAAAGTAAGATTAACATCAATTTGTTTGGCTATAAATTATATTTTCCCAACAATACTCACTCTAAAAACTCATGCTCTTGTAAATCTAAAATTGAATAACCAAACATGCCATAGACATTCCCACAAATAAACTTTATCTTCTTTTCTCTGCATATATTGTCCAGTTTTAATATATCCTCCGATTTCAAATCAGTGGCAACAATCATTGTAAAGCTGTCAAAGTACTCTTTCTGTTTAACTGAAATGTTGTTGGTATCAACAACAATTTTTACGAGTGGATTGAGAGACTGAGCCTTTAGCAATACTGACTGTGCCATCTGTAAATGTAATTTCCCAGGTCAGTTTTTACAACTACATTATTTATTATATCTACATACATTTTTTCCAATACTATTCCTGTCTAACAAAAAGTTCTTAGTGATTTTTTCTTCGGTTACAGTTGCATCATCTAATATAGTCAAGGAATTTATACCACAAAGTAGTATGTTCTTTGCAATTTCTGATCCTAACCCTTGTACGCCAATTAACAGTATATTAGCGGCTCTTAATCTAAAATAATTAATAATTTACATAAATATTTGAAGTAACATTTTTGGAAAGCCGGTTTGTAATTATTGCCCTCGTACTTCTCTTGTGATTCTATGCCCCACAATCTTATTTGCCGATCATAAAGCTCAGCTTCAGCTTTCGATAATATAGGTTGAGCCATATCTTTTTCTCTTTTCTTTTATTATTAATTTAATAAACAAATACTCTACAAGAAGCTGTGTACTACACAATAATTGACGTTAAGTTTATAGGTTATGTTTTAGAAAAGAGTTTAAATTACAGTTACCTAAAAATAAACTTGTGAATATTGCTCTTAGGTGGCAGCACCTGCCTGAAATTAAACTTTAGCATTAAAAGTTAAACTAGTTGGAACCGTTCAAATTTATATTTAGGTATTTAGTTATTTTATTATTTATAGAGTATTTTTCACGATCCCAAGTCATTATATTATAAGTTTGATTTGTTAAAAATATTTCAACCCTTCGGTATTTCTGAAAAAATGCGCTTATCTTTTTCTCTTCTACGACCATCAAATACGCCAAGTACCGACAGCTTTCGACCTCTGTTTGACCCTATATCATTTACGCAAACTCATGACTATTTGTCCATGAGATTTCAACTTCGTGTTAATTGGAGCTCGTACTTATTATGGATACTTTACCAGCAAACACGATAAAGTTTTTGATTTACAATTTGGAAATAAATACTTAAATGTTAATTGCGATCGTTTTTAGCAATGATTTTTTCAAGGCCTCGTCTTTTCTATNAATTTACTTTCTAGATTTAATTCTTCATCTTTAGTAAAGCCATTATTTACATGTGCCCTTAATTGTGATTTATTTTTTCTGTAAACCTTATTATCTAACTTGGAAACGCCGTTAAAATGATTTGTAATTTCGTGAAGTAATTTTCCTTCGGTTTCTGGGAGTACAAAATACAATATAATGGTACATATAAAACAAAAAGCACAATTAAACCAAAACGAACCGGGAAGAGTCATTCCTGAAACCATAATTAAAAACAATTTGTTAGCGAGAAAACCGAAAATATATCCAACAGCGCTGGACAATCCTGATGCTGTCGCTCTCGTTTCTTTTGCGTAAACCTCTCCTGTTAGGATCCAGGGAAGAATCCTTATTCCAGTATGCGTTAGAAACGCGGAAAGAATTAACAAAGTTGTCGGTATCCAATCATAAGCAACAACTAATTGTTCGTTGTGCGCGACTGCAGCAGCAGTTGTTGAATTATCATCGGTTGAATTTCTTGACGAAACGAGTGAATTTAAATTATAATAATGTGCGTAAACTCCGATAACGGCAAGGCAAACACAATTGCCTATTAATGATATAAACGTAAGTACTCTCTTACCGACATAATGAATAAAAACTACACACACCACACACCCTGTAAGCTCACCAATACCAAGAAAAACCGTCGCATAATACGCGTCAATTGGTGAACGCAAAGAAGAAAAAATTTGTACCGCATAAGTCTGTAATGTGGTCATCCCCGAAAAATGTTCCACGAAAAACACAAAACTCACTATAGCAAAGGGCCAGATAAAATTCTTTTTGGTATAATTTTTTAATTTCTCTTTACTGGTAAGTTCTGTCTGTACGTTCGCTGCAACTTTGCACAGATCAATGAATTCATTTTGTACGTTTTCCTTTTTTGTCCAACCACGAAGCCATGCAAGGCTTAACTGAGCTTCTTCCATTCGCGATTTCATAATTAACCAATAAGGACTTTCGGGAATTGTAAATAACGAGAAAAACGCAATTATAGGGACCACACAGCTAGTCAAACTTACCATCCTCCAGGACAGAAACGTAGCCAGTATAAACTCTATAAGGGTACCCAAAATAATCGAAAACGTGCTAGTTGCTGACAGAAGTCCTCGCAAGTGGGGCTGTGTTACCTCAGCCACGTATGTCAAAACCTAAACAGAAAAAATCGCAAAAGCCTCGATGTGGATATTTTTGCATCATTAAAAACGGGTGCGAAATATGGACAAGTGGGCGCGGTGGAAAAGAAAAGGTTAGAAGCGTTGGAAATGTGGTGTTACAGGCGAATGATGAGGATACCGTGGATAGAGAAGGTTACAAATAAAAAGGTATTATAAAGAATAGGAGAACAGAGGACTCTACGGAAGTCGATAAGAAATAGGAGAGATAGGTTAGTAGGACACCTTCTCAGGCATGAAGGTCTAGTCAGAAACATATTAGAGGCAGAAACGGGAGTTCGGAGGAGTAGAGGTAGACCTAGATTAGATTACGGTTCGCAAATAGTTAAGGATATGGGTTGTTTTAGTTTTGGGGAATAGCTCAGGGTAGAAAAGAGTGGAGGTGCGTGTCGAACCAGTTTTGGACTGACTTATGATGATGAAATAAAAACGTCGCGTAGTTTTCCATTAAGCAAAGCGTCTTGGGTTATGTAAAGTTCAATGCTTACGTATTTGCATTTTACGTTAAAGGTGTCGGGTAAAGTAAAAATGTTCGGGGTGGGCCAGGACACGAATCGGAAGCTTCAACGATTTCCCGGTTTACAATGTAAATACTACGTATAGACTTACGGGAGCTTCGAGAAGTCCTCCACCAATTCCCGTCAAACATAGAGCGAGGTAAATGTGCCAAACTTGTCGAGAAAAATAAAAAATCAGCCAGGATATAAAAAAGGGAATGTTTACGAACTGCATGGTTCTCTTCCTTCCTATTGTTGTTGTCGTGTAACCAGACAATAAACAACCAATAGGCACGCATATCAAATTCAGCGAACCTAATAAAATACATAAACATCTAACGAGTCAAAGGAGCAATAACTGATAAGAAAAATTATGTTCTTGTCAGTATTTTCTATAGAGCGTGTTATTGTCTACAATGAATTAAATATCATATCAAAATTATACAAACAATGTATAGATGATTTCCGTTGCATCAAGTAAACAAATTAATATGGACTTACTGATCCAGGAAAGTTGATCGGAATTTAGCGATAATTCTTCCTCGGTGTTATCTTCGGAAAGATTAGGAATCAGCACCGTTGGAATTCCCAAAGTCATTCCGAATCCAATTAAAAGTACATTTTTAACTGACACGGCCAGGATTTGCGGAATTGCGGTCCTTAAATTTATTTTCAACTGGTCACCATCTGCATCTTCTTTTTCGATTCTGTTGCACAAATTAATCATTATCATCTACTATAAGTATTTTTCAACACATAAAACTGTTATTTAATTTATTTTTTTATTTTCATAATAGTCGTTATAGGTAATGAACGGACTATTAATTGGGTATTTGACCATAATTCTGATGATTATACTTAATCGCTGAATGAGAAATATGCATACGCTGTATTTTCGAAAATTCTAAAAGTAATTTAAAATCGATTCAAAAACACAATTATAATTTTTAAAACAAATTTAGTATTACTGTTAATATTTAACGCTGCGACTGTGGTCACTTACCGTTTTATTACTGTCATATTTGTAACCTTCACTTTCTCTTTTTAAAATACGAATACTGCAAATGAAAAACTGACATAGGTATTTACACGAAGTTTCGCGTCAATGATAAAAAAATGTTCCGTTAAAAGATTATACCCATTAGTTTTCTGGATGACAACAAGCACTTTTTAATTTTTATCAGTAATAACCGTGGAATTAAAAAGTTTTACCACTGTTGTAAAACATACTATCAAATAATGAAAACGTCCGTCTTCGTCGTGCGATGATGATACTTCCACTTTTCAGCTCATAATTTTATTTACGTATGATGTATGTTTGTATGTACCCCAGTAGGTAGATACTAAAAACACTGTAGAATAAAACGAAGCAATTTCCCCACCGCTTAATTCCTTTGTAAAGATCACTGAATTACTCAAGTAGTAAGTAATAAGATTGTTGCGCTGGGTTTTGTTTAACAATAAGATAAAACGTTCAGTAAAAATCAACGTGCTTTTTGTGGAAACTGATTACTAAAGACTTTTAAATATTTCGTTTAATATGTGCGTACTCATTTATGGTACAGTTTATTTATCATGCATGTGAATGTATCTATATATATTGTATTGAAAAAATACATAGGTATATAAAATAACATTGTGTGAAACAAAGAAAAACTTAACCTTTGTAAGAAACTTAATCCTTCTAAATTTGTGTTAATAGTCTTGGAATTTTCCTAGACAGTAAGTAGAAGCTGTTTATCAAGAACCCTAAAAACCTTTGACATTTTTCAACTAGATAGAACTATGTTACGAACGTGAATACATATATGTATAAATAAATAATTGCCATTTTATTTATATAGACTAAAAACAAGTACATACTTTTCTCTATTTTATACAAAAACTAATATAAGTTAGTAGCGAATACCTTAAAAAACTTGCCGACTGGACGAAATTCAGCACAAAATGCTGCGAACGATTACAGAAAATACTGTTTTCAAGGGTTGTAAAACCTATGATAAAAAAATTGTTAATAAAAGATATTGTACAGTTAACATATATTATATTGAAGTTTGAATGTGTATTCTAACTTTAGTAGTACTGCCCCATATTAAATAGTTACAACCGGAAAATAGCGTGTATACGAGGGTGGATTGATAAGTTTCCGGCCTGACCAAGAAAAACAAGGTTTTTAAAAATTTTTTTTTTTTATTTCTCAACATAATCTCCTCCAAGGCTGATACATTTCTCATAGCGGTGTTCCAGTCTATTAATGCCATCTCTATAGACTGATTCGTCAAGCTCCTCAAAATAACCATTTACAGCTTCGATTACTTCTTCATTGTCCGCAAATCTCTTACCGCCAAGCCATTTTTTGAGATTAGGGAACAGAAAATAGTCACTCGGGGCTAGGTCTGGAGAGTAAGGAGGGTGCGGCATCAATTCAAACTTTAGATCGTTGATTTTAGCCGTCGCAACGATTGACGTGTGCGCTGGTGCGTTATCGTGATGAAACAAGATTTTTTTCTTCGCCAGATGAGGTCGTTTAATTTTCACCTCGTGGCTCAAACGTTGCAATAAGTCTGCGTAGTATTGACCAGTGATAGTATTACCCTTTGCAAGGTAATCAATGTATATAATACCTCTTGCATCCCAAAAAACAGTAGCCATAACCTTGTTCGCCGAAAAAATTGTTTTTGCCTTCTTTGGAGTTGGTTCCCCTGGTCCAATCCACTGTTTAGACTGTTCTTTGGTTTCAGGAGTGTAGTGGTGGACCCACGTTTCGTCAACGGTTACGAATCGACGCAAAAATTCGCTTGGATTACGCTTATACAATGACAAATTTGCGGTAGAAATGTTTTTTCGAATCAATTTTTGGTCGACTGTTAGCAAACGCGGCACCCATCTTGCACAGAGCTTTTCCATATGCAAATGTTGGTGCAAAATATGTTGCACACGTTCATATGACATCTTACAGGTCTCAGCTATCTCACGCACTTTCAATCTGCGGTCTCCCAGCACTATTTGATGAATTTTTTCGATCATATCTGGAGTTGTGACCTCAACGGGGCGTCCTGAGCGAGGCCCATCAGAGGTGCTCACACGACCCTTTTTAAACTCGGAAACCCACTGCTTAACGGTTGAATATGACGGGGAGGATGTCCCCAGTGTTGAGTCCATCTCTTTTTTAATTTCCTTCGGCGTTAACCCCTTCAAATAAAAGTATTTGATGACAGCACGATTTTCCTGCTTTTCCATTTTTACGAAAACCACAGAGGCGTCTTGTTCAGCGTGCTGTCAAACCTACACTAGCAAGGAGATCGGGCTGAAACTATAGCTACAAGCTATCCAAGGATGGTACTATAGAATGTCACCTCAAGGTAGGCCTAGTGGCGTCATCTCTTGGTTAGGCCGGAAACTTATCAATCCACCCTCGTATTAAGCAGCATACAAAGTTCACCCTCTGTTACTGAATGTACAGTTGGAATGGTTAGTTTCTCTATCGAGGAAAAAAAATTATCAAACTTACGAAGATAATTTTTTATACAACTGCTTAAAGTTTATTTCGAGGCATAATTTATTGTCCATTAAAACTACACTTTTTGTGGAAATAAAGATAAATAAAGTTTTGGTGTATTGTTAAAATTCGTACAACGTTGATTGCATATCATAAAAATTATGTAAGTACCTACCTACTTTAGAAAATTCTGACGAAAGTATTTATACAAGGTATAATAAAGTATATCTATGACAATTAAAAAAAAAACAATTTACTGTTTTAATAATGCTCTCGTATCAGTACTTACTTAATATCATGAAATTTTTTATTTTATTTGCGGTTGCTTTTCAGTTAAAAACATCGCCGGTAAAGGGCTTAAAAAATAAAAATTTTCTAGTAAACAAGTAATAAGTGCAATAAAAGAGGGCTTTGTGCCAAGTCCAACTGATACATTAAAGTAATTTTTCAGTACTGTACTGATAGGACTTGAAGGAAAATTATTTAGCATTCTCGAGAATTGGCATATATAATACATTTGTGGTGAACTTTTTGAAGGGGCTAATGCTTTAAATAAGTTCTAATTTATTTATTATATTCTTCTTAGAAACATACACTTGAACTTACAAATATGGAAAAAGTATTGGGTCAACCAAACACTTTAAAAACTGTCCTTTCGTACAGTTAATTGTCATGAATAGGTATTGTAAAGCAACTTTTGAATACAAATATTGACAGTACTTAGTACCTTTAAATATCAATATTTTGTCTGTTTAATACCCATATATTGATTGAAAACAACACACTTAAAAAAAATTGTTTCGTTTGTTTTAAACGATATGTAAATGTTGTAAAAAATTTGTACATAAAACTGAAACTGCGCTATCACAAATCGTCTGCCATTCAATATTTAGTCTATTTAATAACTAAGTAATGAAGGGAAACAATAGCAGAGTGAAAAAAATTGATTAATTTGTAGAACATTGTGAGTGGTCTGTGTTGCGATGAAACTAAATATTTTATACATAATATAGACACTTGTACCATTACAAATCGTCTGCCATTTGATAGTTCGTCTATTTGATAACCAAATATTTCGAGGAAAAAATGCACACAGGAAAATATTGTTTTTTTTTTGCAAATTGAAAGCAGTTTTTCAAAGATGTGTTAGTCTGCCATTGATGTTAATCAGTATTTTGCTTTTGACTAATACGTTTTTGACAAATATAAACAGACTGCTAAAATGGTTGTGTCCCCTATCATTGACAGAAATGTCTAAAATGGTTGTGAAAAATCACGATGTAGATGCATATTACATAATAATACTAGGATACTATCTACATAGTGACATAATGAGGCTTCCACATCTTACCCCATCACTGTGAAGCTTTTCCTACCCTTCCTTTCTTCCCCCTACCTTTAGCGTCACTGCTACGATAAACCCGTATTATAAAAATTGTTTTTGATGTTATTCTTATTATTTCTCTCCGAAGTTTCAATCAAGCTTGTGAAATTTGATAATAAGCATATATTAAAACGATATCTGTACAAGTCGCACCTTTTTACGTTATTATGTAGTAATAATTAATTTAGGCAATATTCTTTTAATTAACATATTTTTTGTCTACTTATGTAAACAACAAGTCGTATTTACCATCTACCGGTTTGAAAATGGTAAATTTATTTTTAGTTACAAGCTAATCTTAAGTAGGTAGGTACCTGTGTATTGTTTGTATTTCTGTTTTTGTATTTATTTCACCAATTAATATTCGTACATTACTTTTACACCTCAGTAAATTACTTGTCTATAAAGGTAAAGGTTCCTTATAAAATGCAATTGTGCAATTCGTTAGAAGAAAAGTTTTAAGCAAGGCAAATTTGAGTTCAGTCTCCCTCCTTGAATTATTTTCCTTTCTGCAAGGCAATATACTACTACCACTACCTAATATTAATTAAAATGCTGTTAACTGACCACTAGGTAATAGAAACTACAAGAAGCATGTGTTAATTAAGTTATAACGCGATATGCGAGTAGACGCGTTTTAAAATGAATAAAAATATAAAGTGTTGCGCGATTAGAAGGTATTTTGTGATTTTCTTAATTTATTATGTAGCTTTTTGCGCAAAAGCAAATGTAAAAGTAACAGTTAAACAAGGAGAAATAGAAGGGAAATTATGGAAAAGCAAGCAGGGCAGAACATTTTCGGCTTTCTTAAGCATTCCCTACGCTGAAGCTCCTGTTGGGGATTTACGATTTAGAGTAGGTATTTATATGTGTAGTTGGTTAATAATTTTTTTATTTTAGGAATTACTGATAAAATCTATTTAAATAATTAATTAAATAATCAAATAGGTAAATTATGATTTGTGTTCTGTTCACTGACCCCTTATTAAGTCAGGACACCGAAAAAAAAAAAAAAAACAAAAAAGAGAATGCACGTTAGGTATAATTTTTTGGTTAATCGTAAGGAATTAATATCGTATTAAAACTACAGTCTATCACTTACTCGTGGTTGTCATTATCCATATACCAATTTAAAAAAAGTATTTAAGAGTCGATAAGAAATATTTTTTAACGAGACATTGTAAGCTTATTTCTAAACCCAATCCTAAGTAATTGTGTTTATTGGACAATTTTTGAAATCGGATGACTAAGTTTCGGACATTTTCTATACATTCAAACATATAAACTTTACTTATACTCCTTACAGCATTAGTATACATATTTACATGCGTATTTATTAACAAATAATTACCTTGTCAGATTAAAACAAGTAAATTTCATAATACCGTGCAAGTGGATACCTTAACAAACTCGCACATAGAAATGGGTATAGGTCATGAGAATCGGAGCAAAAAGTTTGTCTTAAGGACAATTCTTATTAAACCTCCGTAGGATGTTGTATACTATACCGCATAATCTTATAAGTTGTAAATTTTCTATTGCGTAATTAATCGAAATCCAATTAAAGTTAATAGTTCCATTAACATACTTAGCTCTCTGAAAAGAAAAACTGACTTACGCATTTATGCATAAGCATTTGAATCTATGTATTTAAGTATGCATAAAATAAAAAATATTGTTGCACAACGTCGCCTACAGTGTGCAACACAGCTCGTCGAATTCGACTTATTATTGATCTTTTTTTCTTTCATAAGAACGGTGAAAATTGATTGCTAAAAATCGAATCGAAAGTCTCCTTTTTTTATAGTCGGTTCTAAAGTACGATAAATAGGTATTAAATACTACGTACACAGTGAGTACAAATTTGTCAAAAAATCATACCTGTTGATAGTTGCGTTTCTTTATCCCTATTAAAATTTCCTAAGACGATTGAAAAAAGGGGTCCTTTGAATGAAAAGCGTTCACATGATAATTACGATAATTATTTCCGTTTTTAAATCGCTAAAGCCGAAAGTGATGCCTAACAAAAACAATCTTAACTTAGCCTCCTGTACCTGTAAAGTCCTGGAGCGGCATAAAAGACGCTACAAAAGATCACGATGTTTGTCCCCAGAGAAATATTTACACCAGATCGGACTTGATAGAAGGAAATGAAGATTGTTTATATCTAAATGTGTATACTCCAAAGGTTAGACATTTCATAATTCATATTGTAATATAACTATCGAAGGACTAAAAAATACAAACGACCTTTGATAAATATATTTTTCAGTTCTTTGATGATGTATTAAAAGATGCTTCAACATCCTTGCAATATTGACAAATTTTATTAAAATATAACAATATTCAAAGTAAAGTTATCTAAAGTGTAAAAAACACATATATTTACAGATAACAAATAAAACTGAGGAACTGGTTCCAGTTATGGTATTTATTCATGGCGGAGGGTGGCTTTGTTGTGCCGGAAATTCGTTATATTACGGCCCTGATATCCTTCTCGAAAATGATATTGTATTGGTAGTACCAAACTATAGATTAGGTACATAGATATTTAACGATAAGTTTATAACATAGAGCAAGATTTCTTGTCTTGCAAGTTCCCTTCTTACCTTGTCAATTTCTTGCTTTTGTTTTCCTATTTCTTGTTCTTGCTGGCTTGGGGAATTCCCAAGTCTGATTTGTCTAGGTTCGTAAAAGAAGGATTTTGAAAGAAAATATATAAAATCCTAGAATCCAAATATGCACGCACACATTTTTGCACGCTTTACACTACGAGTATGTATTGTAGTTTATTCTAAATTAAATTTTATTTTTTAAATTTATTTACTTTAAACCATGTAGTCCACATTTTATAGTTGACCGTGAAGACTTGCTTGTTTTTGTCTATTTTTTAAGAATTCTTGCTTCGTGACAGGAAATCTTGCTGTTGATGAGAGAAATTTTTGGCTTGTCTTGTTCTTGTTCAACGAGAAGTTCGCGAAACACGAGTGTAACATTTAAATTTATATTATAACATGATGTTAAAGTACCTGGCACCTTCACCAAATTGTTGAATAAAAATTTATATCCAGGTCCGCTCGGTTTTCTATCGACGGGGGATGAAATTGTTCCCGGAAATAATGGATTGAAAGACCAAAGTTTAGCATTGAAATGGATAAAGGAGAACATACAACAATTCGGAGGTGATCCAAACAAAATTACGGTGTTCGGTGAATCCGCGGGTGGTTCTAGCACGCACTTTCTGATGATGTCACCGTTAACTAAAGGTACTTACTCGAAAGATAATTAACATGCAATTACACAGCATGTGAACCTAGTTAAAAAAAGTTATGGAATACTCATATTGTTTTTAAGATCTCCTTTACGCTGGCATATCCCAAAGTGGAAATGCTTTTACAAGCTGGTCCTTATCTAGACATAACGAAACCGAAAATAATTCTAGAAAATTGGCTTCGCTATTAAATTGTCCTGAAAATCCCAGCACCGCTATGGTAGAATGTTTACGTAAAATTGACAGTCACACCATCATCGCCCAAGACGAAAAATTAACAGTAATTCGAATAGTTTTACGATTAGTACACAAATAAGTTTTTTAATGCATATACGTACAGTAACTGACAGTAGATATATCGCCAGCAACTTAAAGAAATTTTAGAGGAGTTAGTTTTTTTGGTTGACTTACATGTAGGTATGTAACATTCATTATTAGAAAAGGATTTCCACGGAGCGAATGTTAAAATACTTCCTTCCTGGGAAGACATCTTATTGTCCGTGAAATCAAGGAAAATCGTACTTTCGGGACAGGAGTATGACACAAAAATAATCGTATACTGGTCTCAGAAAGAAAGTGCGGCAGCCCCTGGCGGCCTCATCTTCCGCTTAGGTGGCAATTCATACCCGGTAGGGAATGCCGCACTTTCTTCCCTTGTTGGTGCGTGATATGTATACCATTTAAAGGACTATTATTACATGGCGGTATAAGTACGTTAGTTACTTGATGTTCGGTTTGGTTGGTGATATGCCGAAAGTACATTTGGCGTACTGGGAACTAATAAGTTCAAAATCGCCATTCATTCGGCAAATTGCTGAACAAGAACTTAAAATTTGTTTACAAAATAGTTTTAATTTTTTAAAATCGTCATCAGATATGGGACACCGATCCAATGATTCCCTTTAAACCGGTTATCGAACCCAACGTAGAAGGTGCTTTTTTATCCGAGCATCCTTTGGATATAATAAAATCCAGAAGAATGGCCGATGTACCGTGGATAACAGGGATAAATACTGGCGATGGAGCCTTAAGGTCGGCTGGTACTGCACAAGTTTGATATTCTCTTTTCAAATATCGATTAAATAAATATATTTTCGATTTTTAAGTACCTACCACGTATTTTCAGGTATTTTTGGAAATCAACACTTACTGCAGGAATTCGAAGATAAATTCGACGACATTTTGCAGTACAGTCTGTTGTATTATCATTTGCCGGGCGATAAGCAGCGTCTTACGCATCGAATAAAACATTTTTACTTTCAGACTCAAAATCCGAAACATTGTCGTGAAATCGTGACCAACGTGAGTAAAAACGTCAGCTTTATTACCACAGGTGCTTGCATTATACACAAAGAAGGGTGTAACAAACAAAATAAAACTTAGGTATTTTCTTCGTCTAATGGCCTACCTTTTACCTTCATACAACGGGCTAGCGTTGCAATGTTACACTCTTCACGTAGTGAGAACAAAAACGTTGTAAGAAATATTAAATCAATTTAAAATTAAAATTGATCAGGTCTTTCCAAAAAATCTATGAACGAGTTATTAACGAATTCATTTCAACTTTGTTGTACTCACGTTATACTACGATGTATTCATACATACGGATAATTAATGTTTGGACAAATTGCAGCTCTTTACAGACGCTTGGTTTCTGGATGGTACAGACGCTGCTGTAAGACTGCACATTAAATACTTAAAAAGTCCTGTATTTTTATATTTGTTCGGGTACAGGGGTACCTCTAGTTATACAGAGATTTTTGGCGATCCCGATCAAGATTACGGTAAACTATTAATAAAACAAAAATTAATAAAACGTAAATATTTTTTAAAATAATTGTACCTGTGCATTTTCCTAAGGATCGTGTCATGCGGATGAATTACAATATTTATTTCCGGTTGGCGACGTTTTGTTTCATAAGGAATCTAGCGAAAACGATAAGCAAATGACCGAAGTTATGTCTAATTTATGGGTCAATTTCGCCAAAACTAGGTACGCTAAAATCTAAAGTACAATATCGTAATATACAATTCAAACAGCTTACTTTTACTTATAAGAAATCCAACACCCAAAAAATTAGAGGCGAATATCAATGAAAAATGGCTACCAGCAACATCAGAAGACATGATGGAATATTACAGCATCGAAAATGACAAAACGCTAAAGATGAAAACAAAAATGTATAACGAAAGGGTTCAATTTTGGAGGAAGAATTCCCCCTATTTGAATCTTAAAAGTTCCAGAAGTATCGACGAACTTTAACAGTGGACTGTAGGTACTTAGATACGTTAAAGAATATCGAGATGCAAAATATTTTTTCTACAATGAAAACCTGTGTATTTGTTTATAATGCGTTTGTATTGTATGTATTACAAATAGACATTATTCGGATGAAGGTGTGGTGTTATTTGAGAAGGTTATTTCTAGTGTATAGTCCCGCTTTAACAAGTTCTGCACGTTTATCCATTCTAGTTTTCTTCTTTTTTGCTTCTTCCAACTCCATTTCAATAATCCTTTCGGGAATTTTGCGTGGTTTTATGGGAGCGGGGGGTGTGTAGCAAGCCATCAATGCGATCGTGTAATTTCCTGGGCCCGGGTCACTAAAGATAAGTTCATGTTGCTCGTCCCTCCAATCGACATAGTTCACTTCTTTAATGACCTGCATTGTCAAGTGTTGGTAAAATATTTACATATTTGTAATGCTAAACTATTTTCGTTTACTTCCATTCCTAGTCTCTTGGCTAATTTTTGAAGTTTGAAGTTTGTAAATATTCCTAAAATTACCGGCATTTTCAACGACCTTGCAACATCGACGCCACATTTCATCATTGTAAAACCTAATGCTAAAATGTATTCAATTGAAACTTTAATTAAGATTTAATACACGTTTTACAAGTAGGTTTGTTTTTCCCAGTTATTCAATAAATTTCAATCGGAAGTAGCAAAAACTAGTAAAACGCACGAATAATATACCTAGGTACTTCCCCCAATTAAGTAGGCATACAACAAGTTACCTTTTTTCCTGTACGTCGGTGCAATACAAACAGCATAAAATCTCAAAAAGGCATCGACGTTAAAGTGTTCGTAAACATCTACTTTTCGGTTAATATAATTTTTGACTTGGAGACATTTCTTGAGAGATTCGCCTTCGGTTATTTGTGCTCTACTAAAAACTCTGGCAAATTCGTTTTTCTTTGCAGTCCTCAGTATTAAAAGTCCAACGACTTCTCCATCTGAAACGTTTTAATTTTGTGACTGTTGGAATTCGAGAAGCTGCAATTTTTTATAACGGCCGGCCCCGCTACTAATTTAGCCAACTAACACTTCTTAATGGTTTCAGTAATTTTTATGATTGTGCATCAATGCATTTGTCCTAAACTGGTCGGCCGTTACTAAAAATGGCAGTAATTCGGATTCGAACAGGAACAGGTACTTGTTTCTCTATTGCAAACATTGACATATGTATTCCATCTTAACATTTTTTTCCTTTTTTTTTACATAAAATCACCCTCAGTAACTGCAATTAATGACGACCCCTCTTTTATATAATATTGGAGCCTCTTCACGCTGTACTGTACAGACGTTTCGTCGAGCATTAGGTCAACGTTTCTACCCAAATCTTCAGAGGGTAAGTAGTGCTCCTAAATAAAAACAAAAAAATGTACGAAACGCTTGTGACGTTATTATCAGATAATACTATCAAACCTCTAGCATTGCTAGAGCCAATTGAAATTTATCTTCTTTTAAATCTTGTATCTTTATTCCGTTTGTAAGAATTTGCCAAACCACCGGAGCAAAGATTCGTTCCTTTCTCACTTGATATATATGTTCTTCCTCCTCCTGATCTTGTTTGATTTCCTTTGCTGCTTCGAGTTCCTTTCTTAATCTTCTACTCATCTCTAACTATCTTGTATACTTACGGTAATTTAATTATAAATTTAAAAAATCTCAAACACCGACTTTGACACTGCAACGTTTAGAAAAGTACGTACGGAAAAATAAAATACATGGCCATCTTTCTTTATGATAGGTAGAAATTGTACGTATTTACAGTATGTTCAGTAGAAATGGACCGACACGCGTTATACATTTCTGTGCGCTTAATTTATGAAGATTAGCTGTTAGCTTACTCCGTTAGATAGGTTGTCCAACCTTAAAGAGGCGAAAAAACGATGTACAGAAAGCGCATTAGTCTAGCCAGTTATTACACAAATTCGCCAACGTGTACATTATGAGTACCTACATGTTTATTTAAGATAATAAAGTGAAAAATATATCAACTTTAATTCAACTACTTCTTCTTTTTTCCTTTGTCTTTTCCTTTGCCTTTTCCTTTGCCTTTGGCCGGCGGTTCTTCTTTTTTCGGGAGAGGTTTCTTTGGGAACGGGGGCACCACAGCGAACATAATGGACATTGTGTAGTTGGTGTCCTCTAAATATTTTATTAAATACTTGCCTTCATCGTCTTGGAAGTCGGAATAGTCAATTTCGTATAAAATCTAAAAATCAACCGAGCCTTTTTGGGAATTTTCTTTCAAATAAACAAATATTAAGCACAGGTATGCACTACCTGAAAACCTAACTTTCGCAGCAAATTCAAAATTTTATAATCAGTGACGGTGCCCAAAAACATCGGTATGTTCTTAGATTTGGCAACGTCTAAGGCGGAAAGTATCAGATCCGATCCTAGTCCTGCAAGGAATAGGAATTGCTTTTAGGATTACCGAATTNAAAGTTATAATCTATTTTTATGATAGTCATATATATATATAACTTTTTAAAACCTTCATGTGTTGCTATCAGCGATGAGTTGTTTTCCAAATGGTACAAGATTCTTTCGAGAAATGAAGTTACGGATGCGGGATTGCGACTAACTTCAATTTTTGCTAGAAAATCGTCGCAAGGGACATAATGTTCCTAAAATATTACGAAATTGCTTTCTCCTTGTGTACTTACGCGGTTAATGTACAATTTTTTAAGTCCTGCTTTTAAATTAATGCGCACAGGTAGTATGTGATATGCGCTGTTTTATTTATTTTTTTGCAAATAGTTTCAATAAATAATTAATTAAACTTTCACATACTCGAAGATAATATTAAAAAACAAATATCTTGCAAGTGTTTCGGTGTATCTTTATGAAATACCTAAAATGCTTTTCATATCAAAAAATGTGCAGATGACTTATAAACCTTAAGAAAATGTAAAGCAACAGGAAATTGTTCTTCTTGTAAGTCCCGAATCGCAATACCGTTCGACAGTCTTTGCCATAATACCGGACTTTTTTTAAGCTCTTGTTTAATATTAGTTTCTTCTATCATTTTCACAAAAATTTTGAACCTACCCTCTAATGAAACGTTAATTTCTGCCTAATGTCACATTATATTTATAACCTAACCCAAAAAATATTACCATTAATAAGGCTGCTGAGATTAATCGAAAGAAAATTTGAAGGTTAAAGGGATTTTGAAAAGTGTCCCGAAAAATTAAAATGAGGCCAAAAGCATCCATCTCATATTACATATGCATAAGATCGTGTCCAAGATATTTGTCCGCTAGACCATCCCAGTGGCCAAGATCGATAGAGCACTCCTATCGGCCCGTTGCTCCCTACTTTCCAATTTACTTTCACTCCCGTAGCTTACTAATGCTGCCGCTTTACTTGGACCACTGGACTTTCTCTGGATCTGGAGCAGAGGAAGGCGCGTGTTGGATGAAAATTCATTGGCGGAGTTTTCGGGTTGACAGTTGCCAATGAGTTAAATTATAAAAGAAAATGATTTCCATCCCCAAACGTAAGACTATCGGCACAATAGGATGTAATAACAATATCATTATAAAATATATCATCGTCTGCAATAATTTTTTGGCTCATTTCCGAAAACCTTTTCGGAATTAATAAATTATCTGCGAACGTTAAAAATAACTCTTTTATAAATAATTAAATATATGTACTTACAATAGAGGCATTTGGAATCCTCAAAAATCTTCGTTCCATTTCGCTGAATATTTACAAGTATAATCGGACTCGATAAAAACAAATATGAGCTTTTTAAACTTAAAGAGAAACTAGGACTATTATTTGATCGGATATTTTTCAAGACACTTTAGGCACCTCGATAAAAAGACGTTCAAGCTACTTTTCCGGCTTTAAATTTGTCTGATTCACTCTCTATTGCGTTAAGAAAAACTTGCGCGACGGTTTATTGTGATTTTAAAGTTTTTAATGATATGCAAAGAAGTTAGACGAGTCGACTATGATGAAAATGACCAGCGGCCTTAGAACTTGTACTTAGGGGTTGCGGGGCGGGGATGTATACTTTCCCTCTCAAAGATCAATACCATGTTTCCTCTCGTCCGGCAATGTATAGTAAGTGTTCAACAACCAACAACATATACATATGTATTATATTATAAAATAGGTACACTTACTTGTACTTCACTTGCTTATTTATAATATCTAATAATGGAAATGTGAATGAAGATTTTAAAAATTTTCTAATTATATGTACCTATATACGTATGTCTACCTACAAAGTACCTACCTATGTATGATCTCGGTATAATATATGAACATTTACTTATACATGTAAACCTATTATATGCATAGGTAAACGTACAGGTATTAATGAAAGACGGTTCTTTACAAGTAAACTTATATTTATTCCTTGAAAACTCACCATAAAAGTACTACACCTAGTAAAATTAGAAAAAAAATATTTTCAACTAAATTATAATCTTTCTTACACTAAACTCGATAGGTGGTTGAAAAAATACCGAGTGATCTAGACTCGTTTTCCGATTTATTGTTTTATCAAAACACCTTTGCACATTCATTTATAAAGTCACTTGCTATGTAGTACTAAACAGTAATAGGCTAATAAGATGAAAAGATAGAGATTTACTTAACTTGATTTTCAAATTACTTTACTTGCCTTGATTTGAAATCCAATCAAGTTCAAGAAAAACAATTGTGTACATTTCAAGAATTTGGAAAATCAAATAGTTAACCATTTTATGACATCAATCATCAATCAATGCGCCAATGTTCAAAACTTGTCATTCTTTTTCGCTTGGTTGATTGTGAATATTTTCTTAATGATGTTTGGAAAATTTACCTATTCAATCATTTCATTAGCGTCTAACTGAGTAACCTATTCTCTGTGTTTTCAAATTTTGAATCAAGTGTTTTTAAGTAATCGAACTTAAAATATGTGCAAAACACACGAAATGTATACTTTTAGAATCAATGTGTCACGAATAAAACTTTGCAGTTCGTCAAGGTAAAATTGCTATTTATGTTATTATTGAAAAATAGCTTTCCTACTGGTGTGCTAGTAGATACCTATGTTGTTGATCATGCGCCAGAACAAAATCCAAAAGAATGGAATGAAGCTTCCAATTACGTGTTATGAATGAAATAAGCGGTAATTCCATAGTTGCACTCTTTCATACGGAAAGAAGACCAGTCATCTATGGCCAAAAAGATTTTTAAATTGCATCGCTTTGTCTATTTTCGTTAATGGCATAAACGATTTTTTTGCGTTGTGCATATGACATATGAGACCACCGTGTAAATAGTTTGATTGGTTCGAAGTTAAGGTGACGTAAAGTTTTTTTGAAAAAAGCGTTGGTAGTGTTTTAGGTATTAGAGGTCACATTTTGCGCTTTCCTCTTTGTCAGCTCTAATGTAGTCCTTGTAGGCCTTAGGTATTGATTGAGTAGTAGCAACGGACGCGGACTGCTGGACACGCTTGTCCATTCTACACGCGCGTCTAAATTATGCGTGAGCGGTGTGTAAGTCCCCTGGGAGTTGAGAGAGCAGCCAAGCAGGGTTTTAAGACGGGAAATGTATACAGAGAAAGCTGCAGAGAAATTTAACTGGTTCAACGTTACTTTTCACAAAAATCGACCACTGCCTACCTACCTTTCTGTTATCTACTTACAATAAGATTAATATCTTAAACATTTACAAAAAAAAAATCATTTTAATTTAGGTAGGTACATGCTTGTAAGAATGGCATTCAAATTTTTTTTTAAAATCGGTACGAAACATCCAAACATCTGCTTTGCTTTATTATTACAATACTTTCTTTTAATAAAAATAATTTATCAACAATTCCACAACTAAAAATATAATTTCAGAAAGATAATAGCAATATTAATGCACAAATATTGTCCACATTAACATCTATATAAAATAGTAATAGATGAACGTGATCACATGATTATTAGCATTAAATAGCCCAGAGAACCATTCGACTTTTCGATCTCAATTTGATGTTAAGTTAATTACGGCCCTTTACTGATGGCTCTCGAATTATTGTTAATTCAAAAAATACGATTCTTAAATAATCTAATTATAATGCTGTAAGATGGCGCAACTATGAAGTCACATTTACGTTTTGGTCATATTAGTTGTAACTGTTTCTCATAATCAATACCAGATAGCAGAACGTACTCCTTCAAAGATTCAACAAACTTTTTTTCTTCATATACTTCAAAATAATTAAAATTCTTTACCAACATAAATAAATTAGTCCATATCTGTATAAAAGAAACTTTTTTCTTTGTTTGTCCTCGTATGTCTTCCTATGATCTATCTTGACTGTTTTTGGTTTTGTATTGGTTTTAAGTAAAAAAGTTGCATGCTTGCAATTGCTTATTTAAACAGATAAAGCGACATATCGTAGTGATTAAATTCAACAAATGTTATTCTTTGAATTAATTGAAATACCTACTTCCTTTCACACCTAATTTTAATACTAGTTCAGTTGCGATTGAATAATTGACTTTTAGAAAAGTCGTATGGTATCGTTTTTTTTTTACGAGTTATTTATTACCGTTCTTAAATACAAATACTATTTTTAATATGTCTTTAAACCAAGTAAAATATTAAACTTTAATTCATTACTGTCAATGGTGGTGGTTGTAGTGCAATAGGTAAAAAATGGCAAATTTTACAATAGAGATGTTCTTAAAAATACTATTTTTACATCATAAAGTAATAAAACAGACAAATAATATAATAATATTGACAGGTAAACTCTAGAACTCGATCCTTTGTTTTAAAATATTACTCCTGTTGGCAAAGTAAGTATTTCGGCACATTCTTACCTTTCCAAAATCTAACAAGCAACACCCGCGTACGTTACACCCCCTTAAAGACATCCTGTAGCAAGGTCATTTATTAAGGGCGAACAATACTAACCTTCTAATAAAAGTTGTCGATTCCTTCGGTTTTCTTAAGATATGTACCTTTATTAAGTTTTTGTGATAAAATTACAGTACTTTGTAGTTCAATTGTAATTGTAAAACTTAAAAATTTCGTAATCATAGCTACCTATTGAGGCACTATTTTATATGGTACTACCTAGGTGCCGCACATGAATAATAATTATTCTACGTGTAATAGGTGTATATCTTAAATCAAAAAAGCTACAACAAAAAAAGCAAGTAAGGAAACGTTCGTTTTGTTGTCAAGAAATTGCAAAATACGAATTCTAAAAGTTAAACAAATAAATTTTATATAAATTAATGAAAGTTTCTCAATAAATGCACCTCACTGAATATATAATTATTTTTAGAATAAGATAAAATGCATTACATTTTGTAAAATATATCCGGATAAAGTGCATTTCACTATGGGAATTGAAAAAAATAAAAAAGGTGAACATTTTGCAGACAACGTTTTCAAAAAGAATAGTATGAGTAGCTATTGTAAATCTCTAATTCGAAAGCTGTTTGTGCAGTTGCATAGGAGCAGCACCCCAAATTCTCTACGCACACAACCTGTGATGTCATGTCCATGTTCTGTTCCTCAGAAAACCTGTTGCAACCTTCGTCTTCATCCAATATAATAGGCACACTACAGCTTATTAGAAGAAATCCACCATGTTCTATTTTTTTAATGAAAACACTAGGATCTACTTTCTAGGCTACGAAATAATTTTAAATAAAACAAAGCATAAAACATCTTGCGCACCTTACCTACCCAATAAGACATAAGTTTATTACGATAATATTATTAACACAGACAGTGTTAGAGGTCAGTAAAAAAAGCGGGGATCTCTGCCTTGTCCACCAGCTCGTGCTATGGTCAGTTCATAAGGTCGCCCTGTCCACCACCGGTCATTATCACACCTGCGTAATCCGGTGTTACGTTACAATTCGCCATGTTCCCCTTATGTAGGGTGCCTTTTGAATTTAACCCGACGCGCGAGTAGCACGCGCTATAATTTTAAAAAGCGTTTATTTCATAATCGTTTGTTCTTTAACAGATTGATTAACTATGTAGGAAATGTACAGAGGGGCGAAGGGGACAAAATCACCCAGAAAATTAAATTTATGTTTAGTAAAAGTTCCACCGTGTTGGAATGGTAAAATGGGCTGTTTTAAATTGGTACCTCCCACCATAAATGAAGGAATTTTGTAATTGTTTTTGCTACAGTTGAGCATTAGAATTAATGAGCATCTAATGTTTTTAATTAATGATAATCTACTTTTTAATCTTTAAACTGGCATAGTATGTACCTATCTAAGAAGAAAATGTTCACGACGTTAAAATCAAAATACACTCGAAGACGTTGATCATAAAATNAAACTATTAATAAAACAAAAATTAATAAAACGTAAATATTTTTTAAAATAATTGTACCTGTGCATTTTCCTAAGGATCGTGTCATGCGGATGAATTACAATATTTATTTCCGGTTGGCGACGTTTTGTTTCATAAGGAATCTAGCGAAAACGATAAGCAAATGACCGAAGTTATGTCTAATTTATGGGTCAATTTCGCCAAAACTAGGTACGCTAAAATCTAAAGTACAATATCGTAATATACAATTCAAACAGCTTACTTTTACTTATAAGAAATCCAACACCCAAAAAATTAGAGGCGAATATCAATGAAAAATGGCTACCAGCAACATCAGAAGACATGATGGAATATTACAGCATCGAAAATGACAAAACGCTAAAGATGAAAACAAAAATGTATAACGAAAGGGTTCAATTTTGGAGGAAGAATTCCCCCTATTTGAATCTTAAAAGTTCCAGAAGTATCGACGAACTTTAACAGTGGACTGTAGGTACTTAGATACGTTAAAGAATATCGAGATGCAAAATATTTTTTCTACAATGAAAACCTGTGTATTTGTTTATAATGCGTTTGTATTGTATGTATTACAAATAGACATTATTCGGATGAAGGTGTGGTGTTATTTGAGAAGGTTATTTCTAGTGTATAGTCCCGCTTTAACAAGTTCTGCACGTTTATCCATTCTAGTTTTCTTCTTTTTTGCTTCTTCCAACTCCATTTCAATAATCCTTTCGGGAATTTTGCGTGGTTTTATGGGAGCGGGGGGTGTGTAGCAAGCCATCAATGCGATCGTGTAATTTCCTGGGCCCGGGTCACTAAAGATAAGTTCATGTTGCTCGTCCCTCCAATCGACATAGTTCACTTCTTTAATGACCTGCATTGTCAAGTGTTGGTAAAATATTTACATATTTGTAATGCTAAACTATTTTCGTTTACTTCCATTCCTAGTCTCTTGGCTAATTTTTGAAGTTTGAAGTTTGTAAATATTCCTAAAATTACCGGCATTTTCAACGACCTTGCAACATCGACGCCACATTTCATCATTGTAAAACCTAATGCTAAAATGTATTCAATTGAAACTTTAATTAAGATTTAATACACGTTTTACAAGTAGGTTTGTTTTTCCCAGTTATTCAATAAATTTCAATCGGAAGTAGCAAAAACTAGTAAAACGCACGAATAATATACCTAGGTACTTCCCCCAATTAAGTAGGCATACAACAAGTTACCTTTTTTCCTGTACGTCGGTGCAATACAAACAGCATAAAATCTCAAAAAGGCATCGACGTTAAAGTGTTCGTAAACATCTACTTTTCGGTTAATATAATTTTTGACTTGGAGACATTTCTTGAGAGATTCGCCTTCGGTTATTTGTGCTCTACTAAAAACTCTGGCAAATTCGTTTTTCTTTGCAGTCCTCAGTATTAAAAGTCCAACGACTTCTCCATCTGAAACGTTTTAATTTTGTGACTGTTGGAATTCGAGAAGCTGCAATTTTTTATAACGGCCGGCCCCGCTACTAATTTAGCCAACTAACACTTCTTAATGGTTTCAGTAATTTTTATGATTGTGCATCAATGCATTTGTCCTAAACTGGTCGGCCGTTACTAAAAATGGCAGTAATTCGGATTCGAACAGGAACAGGTACTTGTTTCTCTATTGCAAACATTGACATATGTATTCCATCTTAACATTTTTTTCCTTTTTTTTTACATAAAATCACCCTCAGTAACTGCAATTAATGACGACCCCTCTTTTATATAATATTGGAGCCTCTTCACGCTGTACTGTACAGACGTTTCGTCGAGCATTAGGTCAACGTTTCTACCCAAATCTTCAGAGGGTAAGTAGTGCTCCTAAATAAAAACAAAAAAATGTACGAAACGCTTGTGACGTTATTATCAGATAATACTATCAAACCTCTAGCATTGCTAGAGCCAATTGAAATTTATCTTCTTTTAAATCTTGTATCTTTATTCCGTTTGTAAGAATTTGCCAAACCACCGGAGCAAAGATTCGTTCCTTTCTCACTTGATATATATCTTCTTCCTCCTCCTGATCTTGTTTGATTTCCTTTGCTGCTTCGAGTTCCTTTCTTAATCTTCTACTCATCTCTAACTATCTTGTATACTTACGGTAATTTAATTATAAATTTAAAAAATCTCAAACACCGACTTTGACACTGCAACGTTTAGAAAAGTACGTACGGAAAAATAAAATACATGGCCATCTTTCTTTATGATAGGTAGAAATTGTACGTATTTACAGTATGTTCAGTAGAAATGGACCGACACGCGTTATACATTTCTGTGCGTTTAATTTATGAAGATTAGCTGTTAGCTTACTCCGTTAGATAGGTTGTCCAACCTTAAAGAGGCGAAAAAACGATGTACAGAAAGCGCATTAGTCTAGCCAGTTATTACACAAATTCGCCAACGTGTACATTATGAGTACCTACATGTTTATTTAAGATAATAAAGTGAAAAATATATCAACTTTAATTCAACTACTTCTTCTTTTTTCCTTTGTCTTTTCCTTTGCCTTTTCCTTTGCCTTTGGCCGGCGGTTCTTCTTTTTTCGGGAGAGGTTTCTTTGGGAACGGGGGCACCACAGCGAACATAATGGACATTGTGTAGTTGGTGTCCTCTAAATATTTTATTAAATACTTGCCTTCATCGTCTTGGAAGTCGGAATAGTCAATTTCGTATAAAATCTAAAAATCAACCGAGCCTTTTTGGGAATTTTCTTTCAAATAAACAAATATTAAGCACAGGTATGCACTACCTGAAAACCTAACTTTCGCAGCAAATTCAAAATTTTATAATCAGTGACGGTGCCCAAAAACATCGGTATGTTCTTAGATTTGGCAACGTCTAAGGCGGAAAGTATCAGATCCGATCCTAGTCCTGCAAGGAATAGGAATTGCTTTTAGGATTACCGAATTTGATTACCAATTACTAAGTATAGCACTTCCCTTTTTGTCTGTAATTCGGTGCAACGCAAAGGAAATACAATTTCAAAAAAATCTGACAACCGAAGTGTTCGTATATATCTACTTTTCGCAATAGCTCCGATTTAACAATGGCGTATCTTTTAAAGACGTCATCGGCGAAAATGCTCGGTCTGCTGAATGATCTTGCAAAATCCGTTTTCGGTATTGTCCTTAATATTATAATTCCAGCAATTTCTCCTGTCACTTAAAAATTAATTATGATAAAAATGATGCAAGTTTACATAATCTATTTTTATGATAGTCATATATATATATAACTTTTTAAAACCTTCATGTGTTGCTATCAGCGATGAGTTGTTTTCCAAATGGTACAAGATTCTTTCGAGAAATGAAGTTACGGATGCGGGATTGCGACTAACTTCAATTTTTGCTAGAAAATCGTCGCAAGGGACATAATGTTCCTAAAATATTACGAAATTGCTTTCTCCTTGTGTACTTACGCGGTTAATGTACAATTTTTTAAGTCCTGCTTTTAAATTAATGCGCACAGGTAGTATGTGATATGCGCTGTTTTATTTATTTTTTTGCAAATAGTTTCAATAAATAATTAATTAAACTTTCACATACTCGAAGATAATATTAAAAAACAAATATCTTGCAAGTGTTTCGGTGTATCTTTATGAAATACCTAAAATGCTTTTCATATCAAAAAATGTGCAGATGACTTATAAACCTTAAGAAAATGTAAAGCAACAGGAAATTGTTCTTCTTGTAAGTCCCGAATCGCAATACCGTTCGACAGTCTTTGCCATAATACCGGACTTTTTTTAAGCTCTTGTTTAATATTAGTTTCTTCTATCATTTTCACAAAAATTTTGAACCTACCCTCTAATGAAACGTTAATTTCTGCCTAATGTCTCATTATATTTATAACCTAACCCAAAAAATATTACCATTAATAAGGCTGCTGAGATTAATCGAAAGAAAATTTGAAGGTTAAAGGGATTTTGAAAAGTGTCCCGAAAAATTAAAATGAGGCCAAAAGCATCCATCTCATATTACATATGCATAAGATCGTGTCCAAGATATTTGTCCGCTAGACCATCCCAGTGGCCAAGATCGATAGAGCACTCCTATCGGCCCGTTGCTCCCTACTTTCCAATTTACTTTCACTCCCGTAGCTTACTAATGCTGCCGCTTTACTTGGACCACTGGACTTTCTCTGGATCTGGAGCAGAGGAAGGCGCGTGTTGGATGAAAATTCATTGGCGGAGTTTTCGGGTTGACAGTTGCCAATGAGTTAAATTATAAAAGAAAATGATTTCCATCCCCAAACGTAAGACTATCGGCACAATAGGATGTAATAACAATATCATTATAAAATATATCATCGTCTGCAATAATTTTTTGGCTCATTTCCGAAAACCTTTTCGGAATTAATAAATTATCTGCGAACGTTAAAAATAACTCTTTTATAAATAATTAAATATATGTACTTACAATAGAGGCATTTGGAATCCTCAAAAATCTTCGTTCCATTTCGCTGAATATTTACAAGTATAATCGGACTCGATAAAAACAAATATGAGCTTTTTAAACTTAAAGAGAAACTAGGACTATTATTTGATCGGATATTTTTCAAGACACTTTAGGCACCTCGATAAAAAGACGTTCAAGCTACTTTTCCGGCTTTAAATTTGTCTGATTCACTCTCTATTGCGTTAAGAAAAACTTGCGCGACGGTTTATTGTGATTTTAAAGTTTTTAATGATATGCAAAGAAGTTAGACGAGTCGACTATGATGAAAATGACCAGCGGCCTTAGAACTTGTACTTAGGGGTTGCGGGGCGGGGATGTATACTTTCCCTCTCAAAGATCAATACCATGTTTCCTCTCGTCCGGCAATGTATAGTAAGTGTTCAACAACCAACAACATATACATATGTATTATATTATAAAATAGGTACACTTACTTGTACTTCACTTGCTTATTTATAATATCTAATAATGGAAATGTGAATGAAGATTTTAAAAATTTTCTAATTATATGTACCTATATACGTATGTCTACCTACAAAGTACCTACCTATGTATGATCTCGGTATAATATATGAACATTTACTTATACATGTAAACCTATTATATGCATAGGTAAACGTACAGGTATTAATGAAAGACGGTTCTTTACAAGTAAACTTATATTTATTCCTTGAAAACTCACCATAAAAGTACTACACCTAGTAAAATTAGAAAAAAAATATTTTCAACTAAATTATAATCTTTCTTACACTAAACTCGATAGGTGGTTGAAAAAATACCGAGTGATCTAGACTCGTTTTCCGATTTATTGTTTTATCAAAACACCTTTGCACATTCATTTATAAAGTCACTTGCTATGTAGTACTAAACAGTAATAGGCTAATAAGATGAAAAGATAGAGATTTACTTAACTTGATTTTCAAATTACTTTACTTGCCTTGATTTGAAATCCAATCAAGTTCAAGAAAAACAATTGTGTACATTTCAAGAATTTGGAAAATCAAATAGTTAACCATTTTATGACATCAATCATCAATCAATGCGCCAATGTTCAAAACTTGTCATTCTTTTTCGCTTGGTTGATTGTGAATATTTTCTTAATGATGTTTGGAAAATTTACCTATTCAATCATTTCATTAGCGTCTAACTGAGTAACCTATTCTCTGTGTTTTCAAATTTTGAATCAAGTGTTTTTAAGTAATCGAACTTAAAATATGTGCAAAACACACGAAATGTATACTTTTAGAATCAATGTGTCACGAATAAAACTTTGCAGTTCGTCAAGGTAAAATTGCTATTTATGTTATTATTGAAAAATAGCTTTCCTACTGGTGTGCTAGTAGATACCTATGTTGTTGATCATGCGCCAGAACAAAATCCAAAAGAATGGAATGAAGCTTCCAATTACGTGTTATGAATGAAATAAGCGGTAATTCCATAGTTGCACTCTTTCATACGGAAAGAAGACCAGTCATCTATGGCCAAAAAGATTTTTAAATTGCATCGCTTTGTCTATTTTCGTTAATGGCATAAACGATTTTTTTGCGTTGTGCATATGACATATGAGACCACCGTGTAAATAGTTTGATTGGTTCGAAGTTAAGGTGACGTAAAGTTTTTTTGAAAAAAGCGTTGGTAGTGTTTTAGGTATTAGAGGTCACATTTTGCGCTTTCCTCTTTGTCAGCTCTAATGTAGTCCTTGTAGGCCTTAGGTATTGATTGAGTAGTAGCAACGGACGCGGACTGCTGGACACGCTTGTCCATTCTACACGCGCGTCTAAATTATGCGTGAGCGGTGTGTAAGTCCCCTGGGAGTTGAGAGAGCAGCCAAGCAGGGTTTTAAGACGGGAAATGTATACAGAGAAAGCTGCAGAGAAATTTAACTGGTTCAACGTTACTTTTCACAAAAATCGACCACTGCCTACCTACCTTTCTGTTATCTACTTACAATAAGATTAATATCTTAAACATTTACAAAAAAAAAATCATTTTAATTTAGGTAGGTACATGCTTGTAAGAATGGCATTCAAATTTTTTTTTAAAATCGGTACGAAACATCCAAACATCTGCTTTGCTTTATTATTACAATACTTTCTTTTAATAAAAATAATTTATCAACAATTCCACAACTAAAAATATAATTTCAGAAAGATAATAGCAATATTAATGCACAAATATTGTCCACATTAACATCTATATAAAATAGTAATAGATGAACGTGATCACATGATTATTAGCATTAAATAGCCCAGAGAACCATTCGACTTTTCGATCTCAATTTGATGTTAAGTTAATTACGGCCCTTTACTGATGGCTCTCGAATTATTGTTAATTCAAAAAATACGATTCTTAAATAATCTAATTATAATGCTGTAAGATGGCGCAACTATGAAGTCACATTTACGTTTTGGTCATATTAGTTGTAACTGTTTCTCATAATCAATACCAGATAGCAGAACGTACTCCTTCAAAGATTCAACAAACTTTTTTTCTTCATATACTTCAAAATAATTAAAATTCTTTACCAACATAAATAAATTAGTCCATATCTGTATAAAAGAAACTTTTTTCTTTGTTTGTCCTCGTATGTCTTCCTATGATCTATCTTGACTGTTTTTGGTTTTGTATTGGTTTTAAGTAAAAAAGTTGCATGCTTGCAATTGCTTATTTAAACAGATAAAGCGACATATCGTAGTGATTAAATTCAACAAATGTTATTCTTTGAATTAATTGAAATACCTACTTCCTTTCACACCTAATTTTAATACTAGTTCAGTTGCGATTGAATAATTGACTTTTAGAAAAGTCGTATGGTATCGTTTTTTTTTTACGAGTTATTTATTACCGTTCTTAAATACAAATACTATTTTTAATATGTCTTTAAACCAAGTAAAATATTAAACTTTAATTCATTACTGTCAATGGTGGTGGTTGTAGTGCAATAGGTAAAAAATGGCAAATTTTACAATAGAGATGTTCTTAAAAATACTATTTTTACATCATAAAGTAATAAAACAGACAAATAATATAATAATATTGACAGGTAAACTCTAGAACTCGATCCTTTGTTTTAAAATATTACTCCTGTTGGCAAAGTAAGTATTTCGGCACATTCTTACCTTTCCAAAATCTAACAAGCAACACCCGCGTACGTTACACCCCCTTAAAGACATCCTGTAGCAAGGTCATTTATTAAGGGCGAACAATACTAACCTTCTAATAAAAGTTGTCGATTCCTTCGGTTTTCTTAAGATATGTACCTTTATTAAGTTTTTGTGATAAAATTACAGTACTTTGTAGTTCAATTGTAATTGTAAAACTTAAAAATTTCGTAATCATAGCTACCTATTGAGGCACTATTTTATATGGTACTACCTAGGTGCCGCACATGAATAATAATTATTCTACGTGTAATAGGTGTATATCTTAAATCAAAAAAGCTACAACAAAAAAAGCAAGTAAGGAAACGTTCGTTTTGTTGTCAAGAAATTGCAAAATACGAATTCTAAAAGTTAAACAAATAAATTTTATATAAATTAATGAAAGTTTCTCAATAAATGCACCTCACTGAATATATAATTATTTTTAGAATAAGATAAAATGCATTACATTTTGTAAAATATATCCGGATAAAGTGCATTTCACTATGGGAATTGAAAAAAATAAAAAAGGTGAACATTTTGCAGACAACGTTTTCAAAAAGAATAGTATGAGTAGCTATTGTAAATCTCTAATTCGAAAGCTGTTTGTGCAGTTGCATAGGAGCAGCACCCCAAATTCTCTACGCACACAACCTGTGATGTCATGTCCATGTTCTGTTCCTCAGAAAACCTGTTGCAACCTTCGTCTTCATCCAATATAATAGGCACACTACAGCTTATTAGAAGAAATCCACCATGTTCTATTTTTTTAATGAAAACACTAGGATCTACTTTCTAGGCTACGAAATAATTTTAAATAAAACAAAGCATAAAACATCTTGCGCACCTTACCTACCCAATAAGACATAAGTTTATTACGATAATATTATTAACACAGACAGTGTTAGAGGTCAGTAAAAAAAGCGGGGATCTCTGCCTTGTCCACCAGCTCGTGCTATGGTCAGTTCATAAGGTCGCCCTGTCCACCACCGGTCATTATCACACCTGCGTAATCCGGTGTTACGTTACAATTCGCCATGTTCCCCTTATGTAGGGTGCCTTTTGAATTTAACCCGACGCGCGAGTAGCACGCGCTATAATTTTAAAAAGCGTTTATTTCATAATCGTTTGTTCTTTAACAGATTGATTAACTATGTAGGAAATGTACAGAGGGGCGAAGGGGACAAAATCACCCAGAAAATTAAATTTATGTTTAGTAAAAGT